TACTTTATCCATTCATCTGTCAGTGGATACTTAGGTTGCTTCTGTGTCTTGGCAATTGTAAATAGTGCTGCTATGAGCACTGGGGTGCGTGTATCTTTTCTAATTAGTAGACTCCTCCACTCTTGTCTTCTAGGTCCTCGTGGTCCAGCCCTGCTGCAGACCCCCAGCCCAAGGGGACCAATCTCCCTCCTTCCCTGCTGGATGGACGTCAGAAGCCAAGCTTTCTCCCCACCCTCTGTGGGCCGCACATGCACTCACACCCACTATACATACACACACACACGCGCGCACACACACACGTCCACACACATACACATACACACGCACACTCTCTGCGTATCTGAGCGCGCCCCTAGCACTGGGTCTTACCTTGCACCTTCTTCAGGATTTTATATGTGAAGAGATTTTTATATAGATTTTTTTTCCTTTTTTTTTTTTTCCCCAAACACTTTATACTTTTAAAAAAGCAATTCCTGGTGGCGTGTGCCTCTAACACTGGCTCCCCCTGTGTCGCCAGACGCCTGCTTGGCTTCTGGGCCCACGGCCTGGCCCGGGGTCTAGCGGAGGCCCAGCAGCAGCTATGGCAGGGCTGACTCTGCTGGGAGAGGCCGGGAGCCAGCCACCCTCTTTCTACCTTACCTCCCACTAACTGCTTCCTGCCTGGGGGGCCCACTCCCTGGGACTCTGGATGGAGGGACAGATGGACAAAGGGAGCCAGCAGCTGTCCCCATGGCCCCACCCCCTCCTCTGAGGGGTGCTGGGCATGGATCTGCGGGGACCACCCCGTGCAGGCGTTTCTCTCCTGCTCTGTGAGCCTTAACTTAATAAAATGTTCCGGCAGCTCTGGTGTCCTGGGTGGCTGGGCAGGGAGGGTAATGGAGGTTGGGGTTTCTTAAAGTGGCTTCACCACCCGCCCCCGCCAGCGCTCCACCCTTCCTGAAGGGGCAGCATGTGGGCTTCTGAGGGTGGGGTTGAGGATCTGGTTCCTCCACCAGGCTTTGCAGCTCCACGTGGGGTTTGCAGACCAGCAGGGACAGCAGTGACACCAGGGAGCTTTTTCGAAACACCAAGTCCAGACCCCGCCCTGACCTACTGAGTCAGGATCTGCACTTTAACAAGGCCCCTCAGTCTGAGAAGCCCGGGAGTGGGCGCTGGGCCCAGCCTTGGAGGGAGGACTGGAGCTGAGGCTTTGCCGGTGATTGACCTTGGGCAAGCCACGCCCCTCTCTAAGAGCCTTAATCTGCTTCTCCATCAAATGGGTACCTTTCAGCCCCAGTCCTATACTGAGGCTGTGCCCAGGGGGCTTGTCCAGCCCTGGCAGGGTTGGGGGCAGGAGCGGTGGACGAGGCCACCCCAGGCCCATCAGGCCAGGAGGCCTCATCCCTGCTGGCTGGCTGTGCTGATCGTGGCTCCACGTGGGGCTGAGAAGAGGCCCCAGTTCCGAGGTACTGCCAGTCCAGCCTGGGCTCTCCGATTTGCAGGGCTGTGGCGAAGGTGATGAAGATGAGGGGACAACTTGAGCTGGACCCATGTGCTTCCCATCAACCCTCGGGCACCTCCTCTGGGCTGGGCACTGGGTGTATAGAGTTGAACAAGAACTGGCCCTACCCCGCACTGAGGCCACAAAAACAGGTCACATTGGGTTGGGTCCCGGAAGGCTGTGGGAACCCAGAGGAGACCCCCAACCCAGCCCGCAGGTCAGAGAGGGTTTTTGGAGGTGACTTTGGAATATGACTTTTCTAGATGGAAAAATCAGGAAGGGCATTCCAGTTCCAAGGGAGCAGCATGATCAGATGCCCTGTGAACTTCCTGGTACGTTCAGGGAATGACCCGCAGGGGAGTAAGCTTGTGGGCTGTGGGGGAGATGTGCCCCATTCCCTTGCCAGTGATGGGTTTAGGAATGAGCATGGGATGCGTTGCAGTTCCAGCCAGTGAGATGCCAGGGAAAGTCTTGGTTGGGGTGGAGGGCTGGAGGGGGTCATCTGGAAAGGTCTGCCTTGCTCTTAAAAAGGAGCACAAGGAGGGAATCCCCTGGCGATCCAGTGGTGAGGGCTCCACGTTCTTACTGCCGAGGACCTGGGCTCAATCCCTGGTGGGGGAAATAAGTTCCCACAAGCCGCATGGTGCAGCCAAAAGCGGGGTGGGGCACAAGGAAGGGAGGCCTCTTTCTCCCAGCCTTTGGACACTGTTGGATGAAGTCCCCACATTGCCACCATCTTGCCTCATTAATATGCTAAAAATGGCCGAGCAGAAAGAAAGAAGAACCAGGACCCCGAGCCATCAAATCACCCAGGCTTGGCACTGCCCTGCCTCAGGACTTCTTGTCTCGTAAGGAGCATCCCATGGGCAGCCCCAGTATCCAGCCGGTTGAGTCCAGCGCCCTGCCCATCCTCACCACGCTCTGTTGTCTCCCACCAGCACCCCCAGACCTCCCTCGAGTCCATCCTCTGTCTTCATGACTCCCTATGGGACCGTCTTCCTCACCGGCTCCCTCCCACGCCACCCTCTCCTCAGGCAGGGCTGCCTGGACAAATCAAAAACTCTGGCCAACCTATGAACAGGTGCCCCACCTGAACCACTTAAAAACAATGAGAGATCACTTCCATCCCACCCCACTAAAAAATAGCTCAAATTAACAGGACTAATGATACCAAGTGTCTGAAGATACGAAAAACTGGAATTCTCATGAACTGCTGGTGGGAGTGTTCTTGGTACTAGCACTGTGAGGAACTGTTGGCTTTTTTTTTTTTTTTTTTTTTGGCCGCACTGCACACTGTGCGAGATCTTAGAAGTCCCAGCAGTTTCTTGTAGATAAATACGCACCTACCCTGTGACCTAGGATTTCCACTCCTGCGTATACACCCAAGAGAAATGAGTGCTTAGGTTTATAAAATGACTAGTACAAAAATATTCATATCAGCCTTACTCATAGTAACCCAAATCTGGAAACAATACACATGTCTATCAACAGTAGAATGAATAAGTAAATGGTGGCATATTCATACATTAGAATACTATACTGCAATAAAAAAAGAATTATTAGGACTTCCCTGGCGGTTCAGTGGTTAAGACTCCGAGCTCCCACTGCAGGGGACGTGAGTTGGGGAACTAAGATCCTGCATGCTGCATGGCGTGGGCAAAAAAAAATTAAAAAAATTTACCGCTACACGCAACAGCATGATGAGTCTTCTAGACATAACGTTAAGTGAAAGAAGCCAGCCACAAAAAGTCCATTTACAGGAAGTTCAAGAACAAGCAAGACTGTCGCTATGGTGATAGTCATCTGGGCTCCAGGTAGGGTGGGGCACATTGACTAGTGGGAACTTTCTGGGGTGCCAGAAATGTAGCATATCTTGACCTGGGTAGTGGTCACATGTAAAAATTTGTCACTTTGCACACTTAATGATTTGTGCATTTGACTGTGTGAATCACATCTAATTAAAAAAAAGAAAAATCCAGGGTTCCAGCAGGTGCCCAGGTGAGGCTCCTGGGGAAAACCCCAATAACCTGTCACACAGGGAATCTGGCCCAAACTACAAGGTTTGGCTGCTAGGTCTGGCCTCCTCAGACAGCCAAGTATGTGCTACGGGAAGAGCATAGGGTGGGGTATCAGACAACCCCATAGGGGTTCAAACCCCAGCTGCTGCCTCCAGCTGGCTACATGAATCTCACAGAGTCACATCCCTCTCTGCGCTTTATTTTCCCATCTCTTAAATGGAGACGATAATGTCTACCACAGAGAGTTATTCAGGTATTAAATTACCAACTGGTTCAATGATCTATTAGTGTGTAATCAACTGTCGTAAACTTAATGGCTTAGAAAAACAGTTTTTGATTATCACTCCTGGTCCCGTGGATGGACTGGGCTCAACTGGACCATTCTCTTGGTGTCTGTTTTGCAGTTGCACTCAGTGGTGGCTGGGCTGGACGTTCAAGATGGCTTCTTCATTCGTATATCTGGTGCCTCAGCTGGGGTGAAGGTGGCAGCTGGGGGGCCACAGGACAGATCTCTCCCTTTCTCCATGTGGCCGCTTCACGTGGCTAGCTTGGGCTTCCTCACAGCATGGCAGTCTCAGGGCAGTCTGTAGTCCGACTTCTTACATGGCAGTTCACTTCCCTTAGAGAGTTTCAAGGGATGCTGGTGGAATCTACAAGCCTCTTATGACGCAGGCTTGGCAGTGCTGTGGCACTTCTTCCAATCACATTAATCAAAAACAAGTCACTGGGCTTCCCTGGTGGCGCAGTGGTTAAGAATCCGCCTGCCATTGCAGGGGACACGGATTCGAGCCCCGGTCTGGGAAGATCCCACATGCCATGGAGCAACGAAGCCCATGTGCCACAACGACTGAGCCTGCGCTCTAGAGCCCACGAGCCACAACGACTGAGCCCACGTGCCGCACCTACTGAAGCCTGCGCGCCTAGAGTGCAACGAGAAGCCACCGCAATGAGAAGCCCACGCACTGCAACAAAGAGTAGCCCCCGCTGGATGCAACCAGAGGAAACCTACGCGCGGCAACGAAGACCAAATGCAGCCCAAAATAAATAAATAAATAATAATAATAATAAAAAAAGCAAGTCACAGGGCCGGCCCATAGTCAAGGGGAGGGGACAGCCCCTGATCATGGATGCTGGGAGGTGATTCACTGGGAGCTAGCTTTCTTCTCTGCGCTCCGTCTTCTCCACCTAACTCTCCACCTCCTCCTTCTCAGTCTCCTGAGAATTCTCTTCTGTCCCGCCCTCTAATGTTGGGGTTCCCCAGGGTCTGTCCTCAGCTCTCCTGTCTTCTCCTTCTACATGTTTTCCTGTGACAAGCTTGATCTCTGTCTTTGATCTCTTGTCCTTGGCTTTTGTCTGTCTGCAACCCAAGCCTTTCTTGGGAACTCCAGACCTGGGCAGCCTCAGTCTCAAGGCTGCTATCAAGGCCCTGTCTTCCCTCCAACTTGCTCCGCTTCAGTTACTTACAAGAGGCCACAATCAGCACAGAGGATGCAGCAAACCCAGCCTGGGAGGTCAGGGGAGGCTTCTTGGAAGAGGGGGCCCTGGAGCTGAGGAGGAAATAGCTAGACTAAGAGGGTGGAGAGAGTATTCCCGGTCAAATGAACATCACATTCAAAGGCACTAGATGGGAAAGCAAAGCCCATTTGGGGACAGAGCAGCTGGGTTTGGCTGGAGTTTGGAGTGCGTACAGGGATCCAAAATGAGGCCAGAGGAACAGGCCAGAGCTAGAATAGAATTCAATCCACAAGGAGGGTGGGGACCCTGCATCCAAGCTCTAGCTTCATTCTTCTTTTTTAAAAAATATTTATTTATTTATTTGGTTGCGCTGGGTCTTAGTCGCAGCTTGTGGGCTCCTCAGTTGCGGCTCGAGGGCTCCTTAGTTGCCGCTCACCGGCTCCTTAGTTGCGGCATGCGAATTCTTAGTTGTGGCATGCGTGTGGGATCTAGTTCCCTGACCAGGGATCGAACCTGGGCCCTCCTGCATTGGGAGCTCAGAGTCTTAACCACTGCACCGCCAGGGAAGTCCCTCTAGCTTCATTCTTTTTTTGAAAGTTTCCACTTTATTTTTATTTATTTTTTTTGCAGTATGCAGGCCTCTCACTGTTGTGGCCTCTCCCGTTGCGGAGCACAGGCTCCGGACGCGCAGGCTCAGTGGCCATGGCTCACGGGCCCAGCCGCTCCGCGGCATGTGGGATCTTCCTGGACCGGGGCACGAACCCATGTCCCCTGCATCGGCAGGCGGATCCTCAACCACTGCGCCACCAGGGAAGCCCCATCTAGCTTCATTCTTAACCCAGTGGGGAGCCATTGGGGAGTTTTAGGTGGGCGGTGCCCTGGCTCAGGA